TGAATTCAGTAATGAAGTACAGTTCTTGGAAGCTACAAATACTTGTTATGCATTAAAAATACAAATAAATTTAATACTTTGAGAACTCTTTTTATAATGCAAAGCTTCACCATCATTCATATAATACAGAACACCCAGTACGATTGCACATGTGTTGCTGGTTCAGATTCCTCACTTTTGAGCTAGAAGTACATCATGTGATTCTTCCAGTGCTAGAAATCACTACAGAACAGTTACTCTGGTAACAACTTCCTGATGACAATATTTGAGTATAGACAAAAAACATCCTATAAGCTGAAGTTCTGACTTGCTAAGACGTCAGGCATAGAAGTTGCATTCTCCCCACAGACCTTTTCTGATAGTAGAAGAGGCCTTGAGCAGCAGAGGGCAATGCAGCTGCATCTCCCCACTGCAAACTGTCTCGAAGCTCTTCTGAACTTTGTGTACTGGACAGGCAGTAACCATCCTCAACAGCATTTACCACCTTCATTATGCCAGCTACTGTACCCACAATAAGTGGGTAGAGACTTCACAAGCACAGGAGCACTGAATACTTAAACAAAAATCCCACCCCCAAAAAAACCCAACCCCAAAATAAAACCCAACAAACAAAAAAACCCCAGACAATCCAACTACTTTTTCTAGCTTTGGCCATCAACTTGCAGCATCTCTGGACAGGGCTAGAGAGGAAAGTAAACAGGGTAGAGAACTTTCATTGCATGACCAGATAAGAACAAGCACAATAATTCAAACTTTTCATTACCTGGATCAATTATCACTACCAGATAACCTGTGTGCCTCTTCCTTCCTTTTTGTCCTCTTTCTCTGTGTGCTTATTTATGATGTGATGCCTTTTAGATTTGCAAGGCATTTAAAATGCAAATTATATCCCCCACACCCCACAAGTGTCAAAAGCTGTTAGTAACTGCCACTATGCCTTCAAGGGGCACAAAATACACAGAAACACGTTGTGTGCATTAAATAAATAGTGTTTGCATCAGTTGTGACAGGGCTCTGAAACTGCCACAATAGGAATCTTGGGTTCCCCTTTCAATCACAATCCCAGCAGAACTTAGTGTTGTAATGTATGAATCTCCACAAAAGTCAAATAATGAATCACAAAAGTGTCTTCACGAGCTGTACATCCAGTAAATACTGCTCAGAAACTTTCCACTCACCTTCAGAACCAGTCAGCAATGTTACAAGCCAAAGACAGCTGTGGCGAAGTGCAAGTTATACATTGACACTGGCTGTGGTCTTAACTAGATATAACTTCATTCCATTCCTTAGGCAAGAGGTGGAAACTAAATATGTTGCAGAGGAAACATGTCTGAGAGGAAATTTTTTTTTGCCTACAATAGAAAGTTACATCACATGCAAAAGAAGGTGCATGACTGGTAACAGCTGTAAGGACAGGCACTGCTTGCTACCACAAAACTACCTAAAGCTAGTAAGAGTTTGCACGCGTATGTAGGGTCGCAAGTGTTCCTCTTCGGGATGGCTGGTTTAGTGTCATCAAACACACCCAAACTGTTACAAACTGGAGGATTAATTTGAACAAGGAGCTGTCAGGTTTTTGGAAACTCCAGGTACTTATATGCACAATCCCTCCCACATGCTGAGATCCGAGGAAGAACGCAACGTGTGAGCCCACACCTTACTGACCTAGATACACGTGCACCTCCTTGTTGCAGCTGCTTCTGCCCCCTCAAGAAATAAGCCAAAGATTATGAGTATCTGATCACGATGAGACTTTCGGCCACTCCTAAACGCTACCAGTTCAAATTACCCTGATGCCCCTCAGCTAGATCTGTACTAGTATGCTACTGCAATCTGCAGGAAGGTAAACTAGGAACAGACAACACCACTTTAAAAATTATTTCCTATCCAAATAATAAAGAAAGAGGCAGAGAGAAAGATCAGACCTAGTGAACTCTGGCAAGAGCATAGCTTGGAAAAACCGTGTCTGGCAAACCACATACAACCAACAAGAAGCCACTTCCCAAGGTCCAGGAGGTAAACGCAGCCAGAAGTCCATCGGTCTGTTTTCACAGCCTATTTGCAATGAGCTCCATAGTCTGAGCTTGTTTTTTGATTCTCAAAGTTATTTTAATTAATGATCTGGGCACTAAACATACAGTTAAACCCATGGGAGTTCTTGAAATTTGTCACATCTTAGAGTTAGACTGTAACACTATTTGGGACTGGGATGCACATGTAACTTCTTGGGAAACAACAGCATGGAAAGGAGAACTATTTGAATTCCTCACAGTCACCTGATTAATTCAAGTGCACAGAATAAGAAGTTGCTGTAACAAAGGCTAGGAAAATATGCTGCACATTATGCAACAGTTAAATTTCTCTCCTGGTTTTACTGTTTCTATATGTTTGCTGGTGGTTTTTGGGGGTTTTGTTTGTTTGGGTGGATTTGTTTTTGTTTTGTTTTGTTTTGTTTTTTTCCAATGACTCGCAATAAAAGACAATCTGATTAGGTCACATTAAACTCAAAATCAAAACACAAATCAACCTCCACAGATGGTCTGCTTTAATGCAGGGGTACTACACTGGTTTCTCTCCAGTGGGAGAGGAGTTTCAACACAACTCACAATGAATTAAAGAAAATACATGATTCATGCAAGTTTCCCTAGATTTGAGAAATCCCATAACCATGTAGGAAGTAAACAGAGGTAACTGCCAGGATAAACAACGCTGTGCTGCATCCTGATTAGCCTTAGCTCACAATAAAAAGGACAAGGAACAGGCTGAAGCCTGTAACCAGGATGATCCTCTCTCTCATACCCACAGGGCTGTAACATACACCTCAATCATGCATCTACAAAGCAAATGCTCCTGCTGTCTCGTTCACTATATCAATTTTCTTTTGGTCTCTCAAATGCTACCTATGCCTCTTGCTCTAACCTTGTAAAACCTAAACTTCTAACACTTCTCCCATTTTTTTGTGGGACTTTGGACAATGAGCCAATCCTCTCTCTGAAACTACTGTCAACTTCCCCAACCTCCTGCACTGACAAACACTGGCCTGAGGAATGGACTTCTCTCTTTGGGATGACGGACACAGTGAAGGTGCATCCAGCTCGCCTGCGCATCCTCTCAGGATGACCAACGCTGTTGCATGGGTTTGCTGCGTTGAATTAAACTAAATCAGCTGCTGTAGGATTTACAAACATACACGCACACCACCCACGCACACCACCCTCTGTGGAAGAACTTACCCACCTTTCTGAGGGCATGAGGGGAATTGTAGGAAGGACCTAGATGGTCATCAGCACTTGAGGGATTCAGTTGGCTCCCACGCTACGGAGAAGGCTGGTTATCAGCCCAAATGAAACAGCAACTCTTGGTTTAGCCTGTCATCCCAGATGCACTCAGTAGTCAGGAGAAGGATCATAGTGAGAGACCAGGTTTGATACTATAATGAAGATAAGGACTCTAACTTGCACTTGAATGTGTCCATATTTCTTCACTCCATTTTTTGCCTGGATTGGCCTCTGTTTTTAGGGTACTTGCACACCAGGATCATGTCACCCAGGACGGGGTGAAAAGAGAGAGAGAGAGAGAGAGAGAGAGAGAGAGAGAGAGAGAAAAGAGGAGATCTGCTCTTTGCCCATGGCCGTAGGATGCTCAGCATCTCACTAGCAATGCAATTTAACACACCTCACTGCCAACTCTTTCCCATTGTGCAAAGGTTTGCAAAACACAGCTCTGTGTCTGAATTTATTGTTCTCCCACTCCACCGTTACTCAGCAGTGAAGAATATTCCCCTTTTTTATTTCCCAGTCACAAAGGTAAAGAGAACAGCAGCAGGCAGGTTAAGTGAATCTTTCTAAAACTGCAGATGAGTATGAACCTTGCTCCAGTCCCACCAAAGGCTCTCTCTCCACAGTTAACCCAGTCTGACTCCCCACTGCAAAAGTGCCTGGATTTCTGTAAATCCCACAACCTAGTAGGCCTTAACAACACCAACCTAGCCTATACAGTCACATCAAGCATCAGCTGGGAGAGGACA